CCAGCCCCCAGAAGCCGGTCGCCCACTGCAGTGTGGGTGTACCTTTGTGCACACGCGTGTGTATGTGCTGCGTGCCTGTGTGTGTGCCGCTGTGGAGTGCAGGTCCCTGGGGAAGGAGCCTCGAACCTGGCCCCCCCACACCCCCCCCCCGGCGAGAGTCACACCTGGGGCCAGCTCCCGGCCGTGAGCCCCTCTGTGTGCAGGACAGCAAACCCCGAAAGTGCCCTCAGTCCACCAAAAGCATAGAGGACAATGGTAGACACGTGGCTGTTGAAGATGAGGCCACAGCTTAGTCGAGGGAGACGAGACGCGCCCCCTCCCCAGAGCGCAGGCTGGGGGCGACTGGCCAGTGAGTTCCTCCGCCAGAAGTGAAGCTCCACAAACTCCAGAAACGAACGTGCTCTCGGCCTCGCCCTTTCCCACCTGGGGTTTCTGCCGCCTCACCCACTCTGGGAAAGGGGCTCCAGGCTGCTGCACCCCTCCGACCTCTGTGCTGCCATCAGCAGCCCCTGTCGGGTTACAGCGCCCCCCCCCCCATATCGCCTCCTCTTTGGTGCCCAGGCCACGCCGTGGGCCTCACTGACCCGTGAACCGTGCTGCGGTCTCCCCGCTCTGGCCAGGCGGCATCAGCTCCATGGAGAGGGCCACGGGCTCGAGGTGCCAGGTCGTCCTGCTGGGTGTATGGACCAGGCCCGGCTGCCTGCCCTGGCACCACATCGCAGCTGCTCTGGCTCCCCATCCTGCCCCAGGAGCCCCGAAGCCCCCTGGCGCATCGCATCCCCTGAAGGGAAAGCACTGTAAATCCACTGCAGGTGTTTGGTGATCGGATTATGTCCTGGCAACGTGGTGACGAGGAAGGTGGCCCTGTCTCCAGAGTGGGACACGATCCGAGCGTTTCCCTTTGGGGTTCGGAGGCATCTTTGCCTCTGGCGAAGTCTGAGGCCTGTGTCCGTCTCGGTGCTGATTCTATGCAGTTTCAGCTGGCGGAATATGGCCTGCTGCTGGCGGGTGCTGGGTGGGGGCTGCTGTCCCTTAGGGCCGAGGGCTAGGGGTCGTGACGTAGCTGGAGCCGGCTGGCTCTGTCCTGATGCAGACATGGTGGCGAGAGGGTTATTTGTGAGCCATCGGACCAGGCAGGCGCTCGGGGCTGCACATTTCATCTCGCCGTGGCCAGCGACACCCCCAGGAGGTGAAACAACCAGCTGCTTTGTCCTCTAGCCGAGTAGCAGAACGGAGGGTACCAGCTGGGCCGGTGACCCACGCCTGCAAACTGGCAGCGAGCTTCGAACCTAGCATTGTTCCCTTGGAGGTTCGAGGATAAAATTTCAGCTCACTGGTACCGATACCACCATCATGTCATTCCTCTGCTCCTCCACTGCAGAATTACTAATGCATGTGAGATCTGAGCGTGATCTAGCCTGCGTGGAAAGCTACCCTGGAGGGAGCAGGCGGGTCAGAGACAGAGGACCGGCAGCATAGCCCAGGGTAGGATTACTCAGATAAAGGGCGGAACATCTGATCATCGCCTCAGCCTCCCCTCGTGACGCTCAGGACTGGACTTTCTGTCCTTTTAAAACTCCCTGGCACTGCAGTGTCCCTGGGCCTGCAGACGGGGATGTGCAAGATCTGAAATCATGGGGGGCCGGGACGGGGTGCGTGTTTTAGCGTGTAAGTAGCGCCTGGCCCGTGAGGTGCCACCTGTGACCCTGGAAGCTGGTGTTGACTCGGCGGCATGTTAAGAACACGGGCGGAGGGTCAGGACCGAGCTCAAGTCACATCTTGTCTTGCACAGTCAAGTTCAGGCCTGACCAGTGCAGCCAACCAGGGCTTTGGCCCAGCTGTTCCCTCGGTCCGTGCCAGCCTTTCCTGGTGACCGCTGCCAGCTAGTGCACAGGGGAAGGTAGCAGGCTGGCAGGGGCTGGGTTCAACGCCCAAACCTTGCTTCTCTTCTCAAAGTGGGCTTGGGGAGCATACCCGGGCTTTCAGGGAGCTGCGGAAGCTGGTGAGGGAGACCCCGGGAGGCGCAGGCCTGGGAGGCTCCTGGGAGGCTCCCGCCAGGCTGGTCGGCAGCCAGCAGGCCCGTGGGCTGGGCCGGCCTGCGGGTCGGGGAGCTGCGCGGTCAGGCTGGGGAGAGAGCAGAGGCCGCCGAGGCCGCCGAGGCTGCGGGCCGCTGGTGTCGGGTCTCAGGCGCCTGGATCCCGTTACCGGCCGTCCGGGACAGCCAGCCTCACTGAAGAACTCCCTTCTCTTCCTGTCTCCCTGCGGTGCAGACCATCTACCTGGATGACTGCGTGTCGTCTTTCGTCCAGATCAGAGGCTCGGTTCCACTGTTTTGGGAGCAGCCGGGGCTTCAGGTAGGTAAGAACAAGAAAAACGTATGTGCACGTGTTGCTTCTCTGGCCAACAGTGCGGTTTGCGGCGGGACCCCTCTTTTTTGTGGTGCCCTTTCAGGGCCCCCTCAGTCTGCCGTGTCGAGCTAACCTGTAGAGCGCGCCTGTTGTGCACACGCGTGTGTGTGCCTCCATAGAGGAAACAGGCGTGTTGGTGCAGGTTTCCAATGGCGAGCTCGCTGCTGGCGCAGGTAACGGGGACTGGGGGGGTCTGCGGCTAGGGAGAGCACAGCTCTCCCTGAGGGGCGGGGCCCCTCAGGCCAGACCCCGAGCTCACGGTGCTGAGAGTGCAGCCAAGGGCAAAGCTTTTTGGGAGTTCAGAGCCATCCCTGAAGGGCTTTGGAAGGAGCTCGGGCCGGGGGCAGTGCGGCAGGACGGGCGTCTGGAGGGCCCGAGCGTGGCACAGAGGTTTCCCAAGACTTCTAAAAATACACCTGGCCGTCCGAAACGGCGCTGGGCGGTGCCAGCGGTATTTGGCATCCTGTCTCCTGGGGAGAGTTCAGGGCGCAGGGTCTGGTCCAAGGACACATTTGTCGTCAGTAGGAGGGCGACTCCTGGCTCTGTGAGCTCCGCCCGGGAGGGACGCGGCCGGGGCTGGAGGCTCCTCGGTCCCGGCTTTGTCTGCTGGACCCTGTCCCTTCACAGAGCTGAGGGCTTGTGTCCGGCACTTGGGTGGACAGCGGTGATGGAGAGCCCGAGGCCGGGTCTCAGCCCGCCCCTGACTCGCCCCTGTGGTCACTGTAAGCGCTTTGTCCTCGTGTCTGTCTTGTGCTGCCCTTGACCGTGGTTGGACCTGGGGGTGGGGGGGGTGAGTGGAGGGAGCCTCACTGGCTCGAGTCCTCTGGGGGAGAAAGCCTCACTGGCGTTACGCCCACAGGGAAGGACCAGTGAGGCGTGAGGCCCCGACCGCAGGTGGAGACGCCCTCCTGTGGACGGCTGTCACCTGGACAGTTCCTCTGGCGTGAGCCCAGACGTTTTTAAGTTGTAATTTACGTGCTGTCAACATCACCCCTTGAGAGTGGCGATTCGGTGGTTTTCAGTACATTTAAGTTGCGTAACCATTGGCATCATCTAATTTTAGAACCTGCTCCTCACCCACACAAAGCCCCTTTGCCAACTCCCCCCCTCCCCCCCAAGCCTGCCAGCTGTTCTGTCTCTGTTTGTGCGTCTGGACATTTGCGGGGAGGAGCTGGAACTTGGTTTTCTTTAGGTAATGTTCCTCCTGAGGTGCTGTGCTAGAGCAGGGAGCAGAGGTGAAGGTCAGAGGGCGCAAGCGGAGCCAGGCTGACGGTGCGGCACGTGGAGGGGTCAGAGCTCCCGGGCACGGAGCTCTTGGCACTTGGGAAGGACCTTTGCAGTCATTTCACCCCAGTTCAGCGGTCCCTCTTCCGGACACTGCGAGGCTGGCCTCCGGACGTCACCCTCGCGGCCCTGACCGGGTGGCCCTGTGAGTGAGCCCCGCCTCACCAAGTGGTCCGCACGGTGACCCGGCGCCAGCCTGAGCCTGGTCTGCAGACCCTCATGAGGATGCCCACGTTCTCCCTTCCTGTTTCCTTTGGGAACTTCCAGCCCCTAGCCCGTCTTCCATCATATTTCTAGAACTTTCCCTGCTCTGGTCTCTTGCTTCAAACATCAAAAACAAAACAAAACAAAACAAAAAACAGAACAGAACCCACTGCCCTCCTGCTCTTTAATTTGGCTCCAGCCTGACTGTCTTACTGCTCCAGGCCCGGCCCGGTCCTGCCGGGGAGCAGCCACCCCTCTGCTTGACAAGGGCTAGGTCTGTGGGACTGGGCACCTCTAGCGCCATTTAGATGCCCAGCACGTGAGCCACTGCCTCCTCCATGGCGCTGTCTCGGTCACGTTCCAAAAGGCACTAGCGCGTCGTTGAGCCGAACAGCCTCTGGACCTGACTCCCTTTCTTGTGTCATCGCAGCGGGGACGGGGCCCAGGGGCGGGGCGGCCTGCGGCGTCCCTGCCAGAGCTGACGCAGCGAGCCTGCCGTGCTCAATGCTGACCTCCTCGTGCAGGACCTGTCCCTTCAGTTCGGCTGGATGCAAAGGACAAAGGTGTTTGAGTCAAGAGCTTGCAGCATGTCAGTTGCAGGGCTGCCACGAGCCCCCCAGGGTGGGGCTGGGCACTGAGGCAGGCAGAGAGGGTGGTGGGGTGATGGTCTGCTGCAGGTTTCTGGGAGCGGAACCTTCACTACGAGCTCCTGCATCCTGACCCCACTGCTGACAGCCCTGGTCTGTCCCTGCCGGAGGGCGCGGGTGTGGCCTGCAAGTGGCCACCCTGAAGGTGTTTGTTTTTTTAGAGATTTATTTATTTATGCATACAAGAACTGGGGTACAAGCCAGAGGTGTGGGGGGTGAGAGGACTCACCAGAGACAGTGGGGAGCAGAGCAGGCAGATCTCCTGGAACACACTGCTGAGGGGAGCGGCGGGGAGACAGGCAGGGTCTGCTCTGCCCTGAGAGTCCCTCCTTGGCCAGGGATCAAGCTACAGCGTCATAGTGCTGAGACTCAGACCCTTGCGCCACCAGGGAGGCCCCACGCACCGAACGCTTACCCCGCTTTCTGGCTGTGCTGGTGAGCCAGAGTATGTCTGACGTCCTGTGAGTCTGTGGGGGCTTTGGCCCCCCACGCCCCAGGCACACAGCGGTGAGGTAGGTGTGTTCTGAAGCTTCCTGCGGCCGCCCGCTGGCAAGGCAGAGCAGTGGTGCCCGGCTCGGCTCGCCGCCCTGCCCGCATCTGCCTCCTCCCTGTCTGAGGCGGTTTCCCAGCGCTGGGGAGCCCCCGCCCACGGCCCTGCCTCAGCCCCGCTCCCCAGAGGGCGGGCGGAAGCTCCCCGAGCCGCCATTGCGAGGTAATGGCAGGGTCGGGTGGTGAGGGCAGAACACACGGACGTGAGCTGCGGCCAGGGGTCAGCGGCGCCCACAGGCACCCCGTCTTCGGGGACTTGCGGGAAGCGGGCTCCTCGCCCTCTCCCAGCGGCCCTCGCAGAAAGAAACCCAGGGAGGCCGCTCCTGCTTCCGGCCCCTCCACCCCGAGGAGCCAGGTACTTCTGAGACATTTTTATCTCAAAGAAGAAAGGTCCTTACCTGGCTGAGCCTTAGTCGTCTTCTCCGCAAAGGGAGGAACACTGCCGACCTCGCGGGGAAGCAGGAGGGTGAGGCGCCATCTCTGATAGGAGCCGGCACAGGAGCCAGGGGCTGCAGAGTGCGGGAAGACTGGGGGTGATGAGTGGGTGCGGGAGGCTCCCCAGAATGTAGCTGCACGAGGACGGGCCCCCTGTCTGGCAGCAGCAGTGTCCTGCGCCAGTCCTGGGCCCACAGACACTCCTCGACGCTGGTCACCTGTGCTCGGCGTGGGGGTCGGGGACAGGTGAGCCAGGGAGGGTGGCAGGGGGCCGGGCTAGGTCCCCCCCCCAAGCCACTGAGCAGCGTCCACATGTGGCCACACCTTAGACTCACCTGGCAGCTACCTCTGGGGCTGAGCCAGGCGGCAGGGACTGAGGCCCTGGCGACTCCAGGGCAGCCAAGCCTGGGGCCTGGGGGTGCTGCTCACCTCCGGGTCCCGAAGACGGTTGGGCTCGTAGCACTGAGCCATTCCTGGCCAGTGTCAGGTGGCCGGGGCACCCCCCCGCGTTTGGTGCTGGGGAGCGAGTCAGACAGCGGCCTGCAGCACACGCACGGAGCCCGTCAGCCGAGCGCCTGAGTGGGCGATGCCCTGGCGTGTGCAGGTGGCAGGTGGCAGGTGTGGTGGCGGAAGGGAAAGGGTGGAGGCAGTGACTGCTGCGGACCCACTGGAGGGTGCTGGTGGCCAACTGGGCAGGGGCAGTGGGAGGTGGTGACCCCGCATCGGGCAGCGGACTCTTCCTCCGGCACCGCCAGGCCTTCTCCCGACTCAGAGTGGACAGTGACTGGCCAGGGCCCGCCCCGGCGGAGGAGGAGGGAGGCCAAGGGAGCTCTGCTCCCTGCAGCCCCACCACGCTCAGTTGAGCTTCCGATGTCCAGTGGCCAGGACCGGGTGACCCGAGAGACGAGAGAGCTGCGTCCGATCAGAGGGGCCTGGGGCAGCTGACCTGAGGGCTGCCCCATGCTAGAGGAAGGAGCGGGGTGCGCAGCAGAGGCGGTGGCCCAGAAGCAGGCTGGGCCCTGCCCCAGGGGCTCCTCAGCCCGGCAGGTGTGGACACAGCCCTCCAGGGCAGCCCCGCCAGATGCCGCGGCAGAGGGACTGAGGGGGTGAGCGTGGGGCGAGCCATGTCTGCGCAGGGCCTGTTACAGCGAGTCCTGGCCCCCCGGAGCGGGAGAGTCACCTGTTTAACCTGGGGTGCGGCCCAGAACCTGCCCTGACCCGCCCCCTGGGGCTGGCGGGGGAGCTGAGAAGCCTTTGCAGCTGCGGTGCCCGGCCACTCCCTGCAGACGGTGCCCTGGGCTCTGGGTGCCCGGAGGCTTGGGCTGCCCTGCCCTGCCCCCCGCTGGCAGTGGTTATGGGAGTCGGAGAGGGAGACAGGAGCTCCCAGCCGGCCTGGGGTGCAGGTCCGGCTGCGCCCTCGCCACCTGGCTGCTGAGCCCACCTGTCCCCACCCCAGCTCTGCGCCCCACGCTCGGTGCCCGCGCTCCGCACGTCGGCTTGGGGGACGCTTAACCATCTACCAGCGTGCACCCGTCTCGCAGGCTTGCCAGGTGTTTCTAGGTCTTTCCGCAGTGGTCCGCTTGGGCAGGAGCCGTGCAGGCCCGGGAAGGCCAGGGTCCCCCACCTCCTGGTCTCTCCTCTGTGGACTCGCTGCTGTGTTGCGGGTGTCTGGGTGTGCTCGCTAACGCACCAGCAGCCTGAGGCCAGAGGCTGGACACTCCTGAGTCCGCTGCTCTGGGGGCCGCAGGTCACACTCAGTCGCGTGTGGTGAGAGACTTGTCACAGCCGGACACCAGCCTTCTGCATCTGGACTTTTTCCCTCCATATTTCTAAAAACGAATCGTTGTTTTGAATTGAGGTACAGGTAGGCCCCCCCATCAGGGACTGCCACAGTGGTGCACCCTCCAAGTCACCCCTAAGCTACCACCAACCTTTGTCTTCTAGTCTCTCTTTTAATATTTTTGCATAGAGGAACTGGGGTACAGTTCAGAGGTGCTGGGGGTGAGAGGCCCCACCAGAGACAGAGTGGGGAGCAGAACAGGTGGGTCTACTGAAACCCACTGCTGAGGGGGCATCGGGGAGACAGGAGAGGTCTGCTACGCCCTGGGGGTCACTCCCTGCCGGGGATCCCACTCAGGTCGTAGCAGTGACAGCCTCCAGGGAGACCCCGTCTAGACTCTCCTTGCTGTGTTGCCATGGGAACGCGTCTCAGAACAGCGGCAGCGTGTCCCTGAAGCGGGACGGGGCCTGGCGGGACTGACCCGGACCGCTCCAGGGCCCTGACCTCGCATCTCAGCCTCGGGATGCTGTTGGGGGTGGCCGAGCGGGACGCAGACCCCTCTGGGAGCCAGAAACCCTCCTTACAGTTTCAGAGGATGGACGGCTGCTGACTGGCCCTGGCCGTCCACCAGGTAGCCTTCCCCAAACTCGGGCTGTGCGTGTCTTCGTCCCTGGCGTCTGGTCGGGCATTGCGGCCACGCAGAAGGAGGCAGAGGCAGCGAGGGGGAGCCCTGGCACACGGTCTCGGGAGCGCCCCCAGTGTCCTGGGGCTAGGGGGGCTGTGACATTCTCTGGTTGAATCGCTGAGATGGACAAGCCTCTCCCCAGTCATTTCTGCATCTTGTTGAGAAGCCGCCATTTTTCTAGATGGGCTCTTCTGTTGCGTGTGAAGGGGACAGATGTGTTCCCTGTGGCAAAATGACTCGAAAATAGCACATGACGCATGTGACACCCACACCTGAGGTGCGAGCTGGGCTGGAGACGTGCCCAGGAGTGCAAACCGCGGCCTCCAGGGAGAGCACAGCGGAAGCCATCAGCCGGACAAGCTAAAACAACTGGTGGCTCAAAAAAACAAAACCTGTGTGGGTGGGGACACATCCAGAGGCCCCAGAGACCCCACCTTTATGCTCCGCACAGAGGCCACTAAGCCCGGCCACCCAGGGGCTGCTGAGGCCCTCCGGCCCCTGCGGCCTCTTGAGGCTTCAGGCGCAGAGGCCCCCAGCCTGCCACCGAGGGTCCAGCGGTCACTGAGCCGCCGCCACGAGCGTCCTGGGCTCGAGGCCCGGGTCAGGGTGTTGTCTCAGGCTGGTCTTTCCTCTGCAGCACCGGGCACGGGTCTGGCTCACACGCTGACCGGCCTCGGGTGCCGCCATGCTGCCTGGGGGTGGCCTCGCCGCCTGCCAGCCAGGGCCACCTCCTGGCTGTGCCCGCCCTACGTCCGGCCCTAGGACCTGGCCCGTCCGTGCCGTGCCTCCGCCTCACGATACCGCTCTGTGGACAAGGCGGCCTCTTTTCTCTCACTACACATTCCTCGCCTGGGGGTATCTCGGCCTATTAGTGTAGCAGGTTCAGGGTCCAGATCTCCAAGTAGCACGTGGCCCAGGGGACCCCAGGGTCTTGAGGTGCCCACTCTGGTTCTCTCATGGGGTTGCAGCTCATTTTGAGCAGACTCGCCCCTGGCCGTAGCCAGTGGGAGACCCCAAGGCCAGGTCCAGGCCGCTTCGCGTCAGCTCGCCCGTCAGATGTGTGGTGAGCGGATGGTTTCTGCGGGACAGACTGAGCTGCTACGGCTGCACACTGTTGCTTTCCCTGCAGGGCTACTGTGAGGCGGGTCCCCCCAGCCACCTACCCCCCGCCTGTCTCCCCCCCTGGCTCAGCCTCCTGTCCACCCAGCCAGCCACCATCTCGATAGCTCCACGGACTCCTGTTTTCCTCACTGGACTAGAATCCACGACCACCTTTCCACGGCTCCATGCTCACATCGTCTCTGCCTTGTCCAGAGAGAGCCCCCCTAAGCTGACCCCAGGAGCAATATGCAGTTGGCAGTTTGTCTTTAAACAGCCAGTGTTAAACAGGTAGTTGTAAGTAATAAAGCAGATTAGCTTGCAGGTATTCACGGCAACTCGGTTTCAGGAGCGGAGAAAGCACCTGGAGGCGGGGAGGCTGGGGAGCCCTTCCTCGCTCCCAGGCTGGCTTCGCGCCTTCAAAGGGGTTGAGGCCCTGACTCAGCCTCACGGCCTCACCCTGAAGCGTCCCTGCTGGTGGCAGGAGATGCCACGCAGTGTGGCCGCGGGCCAGACTCCAGCCTTGGGACCAAGCACACCTCGGCCTGCCCAAGCTGAGCCTGTGCCCGGGGGTGCTGTGGGGTGCTGGGGGCCGCCGCGCCCACCTGGCTTCCAGTGTCGGGGTGGGCGTCCGGCTCAGCGAGCAGGGGCTGCCTGTGTTTCTCCTTCCCCCCAGGTGGGCTCCCACCATCTGAGACTCAACAGAGGCCTGGAAGCCAACGCCCCTGCGTTCGACAGGTAGGAGCTCCGGGCCTCGGCCACGCCCACCCTAAGCCTGCCTTGCTCTTTGGTCCTTTCTGCAAGAAGGGGCTTTGCAAGTTGGGGTTCCGACCTGCTCCCGGTTTCCCTGAAGGTTTGTTAAATGCCACGTAATGCGTTTACCTTGCTTTATCTTCAGTAGACTTCTCTAGATCTCTGGATGGCCAAGTACCCCCTTGCCATTCCTGCCTGAGGGGTACCTACGCGTGCATCCGGTCACCCAGGGATGCCAGGGTTTCAGAGTGCTCATGGCTGGCTGTTTTCGTTTTAAACATCACATGTTCCAGGTTTTAAAAAATCACAGTATAGAAAGATGTAAAGTGACTCCCACTACTAGAGGTTTTACTCTTGCTCAAACCATATCGTTTCTTCACATCATTCTAGGGGAGAAATGAGCATTTATTCGGTTCATTTTTTAAAACACATTGGATCATGACTCAGTTTTGCAGTTTGCTTTAAGAAAAGCCACAGCTAGGCTGAACTATTTGCACTTGAAATAGTGAATAACTTTTTGAAATACTTGCTTTTCCAACCTGGATGTTTTCAGTGATCTTACAGCAGTTCTCAAGGGCATGTTTTTTTAAGTGGTTTAATCATTCTGCCCCAAGCCTGACTTGAGCTTTGAATCTGCTTGGACCTTTCTGTTTCTATTACACGGGACCCCAGCCCTGTCCCTAATCTACGCAGCGCCAACGGCGGGCATCTTCCAGAGAGTGCGCGTGTGTTCTCTGCACTGCAGGCGTGGTTGTCTTCGCCGACCTCTGTTTCTTCAGAAACGCTAGATGTAACTGAAATGAAACTTGTCCTTGAACTGACCTGGAGCCAGGGGCAGGGCCCTGCTGGGCTTGTTAACTTTCCTGTGTTGACGAGTTTATTGACTTTTTTAAAGTCCTGAGCACATTTACAAAGGCTTAAAAGTTTTTTTTAAAGACCCTTTTTAAAGGGTCAGGGGAGACCCGCCCGCTGCTCCCCTCAGCAGTGGACTTCGTCGATCTGCCTGTTCTGCTCCCCTCTCTGTCCCTGGTGAGTCCTCTCACCCTCCGCATCTCTGGCTTGTACCCCAGTTCTGTATGAACAAATAAATCTTTAAAAAAAAAGAAAACAAGGGTCAG